CTTTTTGCACAGTGAAATATAAGTAATAATTTGAACAAGTAAATATGAATAACTAAATTTTCACTAGAAGTAATTAAAAAATTAAGAATATTAAAAATTACTCATTGAATTGTGAACATTTAGAAATGTTTTTAAGTTAAGTTCTGGTAAACTTAACCAAGTTTCCTTCTTCCGGTAAATCCCATTTTTTTAAACTAGAACTAACAGTTTCTCTTAACCTAATGGGAAGACACCTTAAATTCGTTATTTTTTCCAATGAAATTTATTGGTATGAACATATTCAAAATTAAACCTCAAGTACCAAACCCTGGATTCTTATACTAACAAAAAGTTTTCGTCTTTTTCCTAAATGAAATTTTCACTGTATAAGTGTATAAGTATTTTTATACAAAATGGATCGCGGCAAATATTATTCGGAAAGTGAAAACCATTATTCAGTTAAGATAATCGGGAAAAACTAAAAAGAGGATCTATTTTTATCATCTGAAAATGTAAAAAAAAAAAATACTAAATGCATCGGTGACCAGCCACACAGTTAGAAACCGACTTCAGGAAGCTGATCTAAAAGTACAAGAAAAGTCCCGTTAAGCAAATAAAATATAAAGTATAGAATTGAAATTGCTCAAAGGCACATTCATTGTTGAAATTGACATAACGTCCTGTGATCGGATAAAACAAAAACTATTTTATTTGGATCTGATGACAAAATAGGTACAACGTTCGTGACTTTGATCCCAGAGATACACGAAAAACGATTAAATATGGAGTCGGGTCAAGGATGTTATGGGGATGCTTTTCCGCGGCTGGAATTGAGCTGATTGATTGGATACAAGACAAAATGTGTTCATCAGGTTATTTCCACATCCTTAACACAACAATGGTACGGAGGAGCACATGCTACTAAAATAGGAGTTCACGCATAACAACGAACATAAACATGCTTCGAAACATGTAAAACAGTGGTTTGAGCGCAATAAAGTTGACGTTATGGAATGGCTATCACAGTCGCTGGATGTCCATCCTATAGAACAGCTATGGGGAGTGGGGAAAACATACACTAACCTTGGCAGCTCCATGCCGATGTCAAAAGGTGGTGAAAATGAAAGAAATATGAATAAAATAACATATATGAATGAAAGAAAGTAGTTATACAATAATTATATAAAACAACAAAAAAATAAATAAATGTTTGTCACTATTAGTAAATCGTTAATATAAACTCGCGGCAACTCAACTATGCTTTGGAGAATTAAAAAGTGGGAAAAATGCGCTTATTGCTGAGGATCGTTCGAGATTCGGCGCTGTCCGTCAGTTCCTTTTGTCCGTTGTGTCCTTTGTCCTCGTGTGTGGTGTATATGATGCACTTGTGTTGAGTGTGAGGTGTGGATGATGAATATGGTGTAGATGTGTTGAGTATGATGTGTGGATGATATAGATAGGTGTGGTCGTGTTGAGTATGGTGTGTAGGGGTGTAGGAGTAGGAGTATTATATTAACAGGGCGGTCAGGTGCTCATTTAGCCACCCAGGCTAAAATACAAAATGTATCCGGTGCTCTTTGTAAACTCAAATAAACCTTAAATAACTATTCAAGTAATAATAAATTATCTACATGATCGATAATACCTGAATTACGGGTTACGTAAATTCGAATTTCGAATTTTTTGTGGCGTTATGTTGGTACTCATATCTCTCTTATGCCGACAAGCTCGGCCATTTTGAATGTTCATTTAATTGTTGACAGCTGCTTTGCTTGAACGTGTTTTGGAAAAAATAGATCAAATAACCTGTATCAAATTTTGTGTGAAAAACGAAATTAAGTGCGCGGATGTATTCCTAATGTTGACTGTGGCATACGGAGAAGCTACCTTGGACCGAAGCAACGTTTATCGGTGKYRMAAAATSTTCTCAGAAGGCCGAGAAGATGTGACAAAAATTGGCTTTTGCACCACGATAACGCCTCTGCTCACACATCGTTGCTTGTGCGTTGTGTTGCGTTTTGGCCAAAAACAACACACTAATGATGCCGCAGCCACCGTATTCCCCAGATCTGGCCCCCTGTGACTTTTCCTTGTTCCCTAAACTGAAGAGACCCATGAAAGGACGACGTTACGCTTCTCTTGACGAGATAAAGACGGCATCGAAGGAGAAGCTGAAGAAGATAAAAAAAAAAGATTTTTTGAAGTGCTTCGAAGATTGGAAAAACCGTTGGCACAAGTGTAAGTGGGGATTACTTTGAAGGGAACAAAATAGATATTCATGAATAAATAAATAATTTCTGAAAAAACACAAAATTCGCTATACTTTTTGAACACACCTCGTATATCTTTTAATTCAAACATACTATTGTGAGCAAAGGTAGTAAGACATTTTAATTTAAATTTCGCGCGGAAACCCATTCGCCGAAGATTTTTTTTTCTATGTTTGCATGATTGTCAGTGACAACTGTGCCAAATGTCACATCAAAATAATCAGTGTTTCGTATACGCTTGTCTTTCTAAAGTACACAAGAGCACCTGGCGAGTAAAATTAGTTCCATTATGTTTTGTGTGCGGAATCAAATTTCAGGTGCCGAAACGTTCAGATTGTTGAAAAATGCCTTCGATGATAACTGCTTACCTATGCTTGGTTCAAATTACTTAAAGGGTCGAGAACGCGTTGACGACGAACCACGTTCAGGACGGCCATCAACATCAACATCAACGGATGATCAACACCTCAATAAAATAAAGACATTGGTGTTTGAGAACCGACGATTATCAGTCTTACTGTCATCGTTGAAATATCGGAAGGATCATTGAAATCCTTGTTGAAAATTCATGAAGCCCTAAAAAAAACACTATTTGTTAAATAAATCAATAAATTTTTGTGAAAACCAACGTCGCTTTAACGTCTGTGAAACAATGCTTTCCGACTACGAAGATATCATGAAACGTATTTTTACAAGCGTTAAGTATTGGATATATGCTTACGACCCGAAACAGAGATAGATCAATCAATTGAATATTGTGGCAAAGGTGAGCTGAAGCCGAAAAAACTACGTCACAGCGACTAAAAAAAAAAAAGGTTATGTTGACAGTTTTTTTCAATTATCGAGGACGGCGAAACTGTTAACAAGGAATATTATTTGAGTGTTATGCCTTATTTCGGCAAAGCTATTCGTAAAAATAGGGCCTTTTTTCTGCACCACGATAACGAACCGTCGCATACTGCATGTATTCTTTTAACCAATACCGAGCCGCAACCTCCGTGTTTGATTACTTTAGCTCCGTGCGACTTCTGGCTATTAGAAAAACTTAAGCGACCGATCCGGGGAACTATTTGGAATCAATTGCAGACATTAAGCGTTAATCGCTACGCGCAGCAAAAACTATTCCGTCAGATTAACATTCACATTCAGAAAAAAGTTTTACTATTTTTTGCTCATAGAAGTACTATAACTGAAAGTGTTAAACAGCTTTGTCCCTATTGTTTTTGCCAACTCAGTATATATATGAATAATTTTTATGAGAATACTAACATTTTCCTCCTTAATTAAACTCTAATTTCTAGGCCTTTCGTATGGATATAAGTAGAAATATTTGTGTACGTGACACTATAACTGCGACTGTTCCCATGTCGGAAAAATTCCAATCTGTGACACTTAACAAAGCCAAATCGACTTTTTATGAAAATACCATTAAAAATGAAGGAAGAATGTATAATAGTTTGCCGAATATGTTTTTTCGTGACAACCAAATAGCAGCGGTACAGAAAGATGTTTTACAGCCACTTGATTTTAAATTCATACCTTGGCGAATAGAAGCAAACAGCTTTCAAAGGACAACAATGCCTTTATCTAATGAATACTGTGAAGAATTGAAATCGTCAACGGAGGCATGCAAGAACTTTGAAAATCATCAAGGCACTGCCACCAGTAGCACTTTTAATAACAAAATTGCACTGAACGAAAGTTGTGTAAGTGGTCGTTTGGAAATTCGAGTTATACCCCAAGGTATGTCTACTTTATGACTATTATAAACCCTATTTTTCAAAATTTTTAAGCGGTGTGCGTTTTACTTCACCTTAAACCTTAATAAAAAGCATATAAAGCAAGGTATGTCTACTTTATGACTATTTGAAAAATGTATTAATCGGTGCGCCTTTACTTCACCACAAAAGACATTTTTCCTTTTATGACCATCCAATAAATAGTAGCAAGCCATAAATTCTGTTTTCTTGAAATTTCTGTGGATCTAAAAATTTTTTGATGAATGTAGGGGCCTATAACAGTTTTATTCAAACTTTTAATAACAAAGTGTTAAGCTTGGGTGCAACTAAATAAAAGGTATAGGTCAAACATGGTATGCGGATTAGATCAAGTTCGCAAACTATTTCATTAATATTTACAACAAAATCACATAGTATTTGCGAAAGCATGTCCATTTTATTCATTAAAATATCAAACTTATTGACCTATATAAATGCCACTATATTGGGGTAAGGGGGAAGCTTGGACTGATAGCATTTACATTGAGTCTTAATCTGAAGTATGCTCTAGAATATCTGTTACGCTGTTTTATTAGGATAACTCATCCATCGTTTAATATACCCGGGCTGATAGAATATCAAAAATGGTTAGACATACACGCAGCGAAACAAAACAAAAAAAAAAAATGCAGAAAGTGCTTTTAACAACTGCATTGCAAACAGTATTGGGTATTACCCGAACTCCCATACGGCTAATCAGGAAAATTTTTAGACATTTTACTTAGCTATATATTTCATAAACTTTTTTCTTCTTTTAAGTATAACAAAATCATGTTTAAGCAAAGCAGCTTTCTTTGTCACGAGAAATCATTACTATATCGTTGGCTGATCAAAAAAAGTCTATTCGAAAAATATCAGCTCAAATCCGTCTTAACGGTCAGTGTGAGGTTTTTTGGAAAAACGTCGTAAAGAAAGGAAGAAAACTTCAGGAAAAGAAATGCACTACGTAATGAAAATACCGTAACGTCACAACCAGTATAAAATACTGATTTAAAAACGCAGCGAAGATTAAAGCTGAGTTGCGGAAACCATTTAATAATGATATTTTAACTCGAACAATTCAAAATCAACATTAACATTAACAGTTTTGCATTCTTCATACTATAAAACATTGGTATTGGGATGCATTTCAGTACAAATCGAAATCAGTTTTAGTAAGAGGTTCAGTGAACGCTGAGAAATATTAGAATATTATAATAGAAGTGGAGGTACTCAACCTAGCGCTTCTAACAGAAAATGATCCAAGCCTTATTTTGTCGGATAATTCTGCACCTTTTTATCGCACTCGCTCAGTAAGTTAGACAATGAATATTTGTCACTACCATAAATTTTTTAAGTTAATTCGTTAATTTTGATATTTGAGGTTTGAAAATTTAAGGGAAATTAAGTATTACTTTATTGAATTGGCCATTAAGCGTCCATATTTAAATCCAGTAGAGAACGTAACGAAAATTATAAAAGAAAACCTCAAAACAATGTCTAATTTGACACAAAATATAAATAAAAAATATGATTCAATACATTAATCGCCGAATATTTAAGGTCTTTATACAGATCTACCCCAAAAAGAGTTAAAAGTGTTATAAACGGTAAAGATAAGGTTGCACTACAAATTAAAAAAGAGATTTAAGGCGATTTTTTTGTTACAAAACTTGGGAAATATGTGTATTTATTATTTTTAAACAAAGTATGGAAGTAGTATAATATAAAATAAAAATATCTACTTCTTTTTAATTGGCGTAGACACCGCTTTCGCGATTATAGGCGAGTTAACAACAGCGCGCTGGTCGTTACTCTTTTCGCTACGTGGCGCCAATTTAATATTCCAAGCGTAGCCAGGTCCTTCTCCACCTGGTCCTTCCAACGGAGTGGAGGTCTTCCTCTGCTTCCCCCGGCGGGTACCGCGTCGAATACTTTCAGAGCTGGAGTGTTTTCCTCCGTTCGGACAACATGACCTAGTCAACGTAGCCGCTGTCTTTTAATTCGCTGGACTATATCAATGTCGTCATAAGTCTCGAACAGCTCATTGTTCCATCGAATACGATATTCGCCGTGGCCAACGCGCAAAGGACCATAAATCTTTCGCAGAACTTTTCTCTCGAAAACTCGCAACATCGACTCATCAGTTGTTGTCATCGTCCAAGCCTCTGCACCATATAGCAGGACGGGAATTATGAGTGACTTGTAGAGTTTGGTTTTTGTTCGTCGAGAGAGGACTTTGCCATTCGGACAACATGACCTAGTCAGCGTAGCCGCTGTCTTTTAATTCGCTGAACAATGTCAATGTCGTCATATATCTCGAACAGCTCATTGTTCAACCGAATACGATATGCGCCGTGGCCAACGCGCAAAGGACCATAAATATTTCGCAGAACTTTTCTCTCGAAAACTCGCAACATCGACTCATCAGTTGTTGTCGTCGTCCAAGCCTCTGCAGCATATAGCAGGACGGGAATTATGAGTGACTTGTAGAGTTTGGTTTTTGTTCGTCGAGAGAGGACTTTACTGCTCAATTGACTTCTGAGTCCGAAGTAGCATTTTTTGGCAAGATTTGTCCTGCGTTGGATTTTCAGGCTGGCATTGTTGGTGGTGTTTACGCTGGTTCCAAGATAGACGAAATTATGTACGACTTCAAAGTGATGACTGTCAACAGTGACGTGAGGGCCAAGTCGCGAGTGCGACGACTGTTTCTTTGATATTTCGTCATGCCCTTGTTCACTGCCATACCCATTTGTATTGCTTCCTTGTCTAGTCTAGAGAAAGCAGAACGAACGGCGCCGGTGTTGAGGCCGATGAAATCAATATCATATAGACGATTGTACCCTCTCTATTTAGTTCTGCAGCTCGAATTATTTTCTCCAGAAGCAGGTTGAAGAAGTCGCACGATAGGGAGACGCCTTGTCTGAAACCTCGTTTGGTATCAAACGGATCGAAGAGGTCCTTCCCGATTCTGACGGAGCTTTTGGTGGTGCTCAACGTCAGTTTACACAGCCGTATTAGTTTTGTGGGGATACCAAATTCAGACATCGCGGCATAAATACAGCTCCTCTTCGTGCACTCGAAAGCAGCTTTGAAATCGACGAAGAGGTGATGAGTGTCGATTCTAATTTCACAGGTCTTTTCCAAGATTTGGCGCATGGTGAGTATCTGATCGGTTGTTGATTATCCAGGTCTGAAGCCACACTGATAAGTTCCAGTCAGTTTGTTGACGGTGGCTTTAATCTTTCACACAATACGCTTGAAACAACCTTATATGCAATGTTGAGGAGGCTTATTAGTTGGCGCAGATTGTGGGGTCTCCTTTTTTGTGGATTGGGCATAGCACACTTAAATTCCCATCGTTGGGCATGCTTTCGTCAGACCATATTTTACAAAGAAGCTGATGCCTTATCTTCTCTCTTCCTTATCATGCTTGTTGTTCTTCAGGCGGGTAATTGCTATTCGAACTTCTTCCTGGTCGGGATATTTAGCGTCTGCTCCATTGCCATCGATTGGGGAATCGGGTTCGCCTTCTCATGGCGTTGTATGTTCACTGCCATTCAGCAGGCTGGAGAAGTGTGCCCTCCATAATTTAAGTATGCTCTGTGCGCCCGTGACTAGATCACCTTTGAAGGTTCTACACGAATATGGTGTGGTCTCGAAACCTTTTGTAAACCGCCGCATTTTTTCGTAGAATTTTCGAGCATTACCCCTGTCGGCCAATTTATCAAGCTCTTCGCACTCACGCATCTGTCTCTCTCTGTCTGCAAATGCGTCTCGCTTCCCTCTTCAACTCTCGGTATCTATCCCATCCCGCACGTGTTGTGGTCGATCGTAACGTAGCGAGGTAGGCAGCCTGTTTTCTCTCCGCTGCGACACGGCACTACTAGTCGTACCAGCTGTTCTTTTGTACTTTTCGAAAACCAATGGTTTCGGTTGCAGCTGTACGTAACGAGTTTGAAATGGCGTCCCACAGTTCCCTTATACGGAGTTGTTGACGAGTGCTCTCAGAGAGCAGGAGTGCAAGCCGAGTAGAAAATCGTTCGGCTGTCTGTTGTGATTGCAGCTTCTCGACGCCAAACCTTCCTTGTGTTTGATGGCGTGCGTTTTTTGCTGCACATAGGCGGGTGCGAATCTTGGCTGCATCAAGATAGTGGTCCGAGTCGAGGTTAGGACCTCGGAGCGCACGCACATCTAAAACACTGGAAACGTGTCTTCCGTCTATCACAACGTGATCGATCTGGTTGGTGGTTTTTCGATCGGGAGACAGCCAGGTAGCTTGATGTATCTTCTTATGCTGGAATGTAGTACTACAGATCGATCAGCCTCAACCCATTTGGAGATGTTTCCTCGTGGAGGCTGAATTTAGCGACCGTATTGCCAAATGTACCTTCTTTGCCTACCCTGGCGTAAAAGTCGCCAAGTACGAGTTTGACATCGTGGCGGGGGCAGGTCTCATAAATGCGCTCCAAGCACTCATAAAAGGCATCTTTGGTCACATCGTCCTTCTCTTCCGTCGGGGCGTGGGCGAAAAACAGGGATATGTAAAGAACCTCGCTTTGATGCGGGTTGTGGCTAGACGTTCATTCACCGGATTGAATGATAGTATTCGGCGACGAAGTCTTTCCTCCACCACGCATTCCACACCGAACTTGCGCTGCTTTATATGGCCACTATAGTAAACGCCAGAAGAACCTACTCGTCTCTGTCCTTGTCCCGTCCATCGCATTTCTTGGACATCAACTACTCAATTAAGGGACCGGACATTCCAGGTGCATGCCATCAAATCATATTCCTTAATTCGTTTGACATAGTCGTCATCAAAAGGGGGGTCACTCATCTGAGGCTTGTTGTTACCTTTCATTGGGGTTGCTCAACCCTATGTAGGGGATATTTCGCCTTCTCACTGTAGCTCGCTTTCAAGCGGACGTTCTTAAGCTATCCAGAGCCAAGCTGCTTGAGCCATATGTAAAATAATCGTTTCTG